GTGGTGGTATATCAAATGGCTTTGTTCGAAAGCAGCAATTCCAAATATGACATATAGATACATAGGGAAATTTTAGCATTGCGATCCACTCAACTTTAAGACGAATAATCTATTTTTCTGTTAAAGATTTGTATGTATTTTCTTGAATTCTATAAATATTTTATACAAACTTATCATAATTCACGTTATTGTAATCAATTTGGTAAAAACCAACGGTTAGCAATAAATAAGTCTATTGCTCTAGAAAAAGCTTTTGATAGGTCGAATCTATATTGGCAGGATGCTCTGTACAAATAAGTGTGGGAATTTCTCAAAGGTTATATAAAAATATAATATAACAAAAGGAGAAATTACAATGTGCCAAAAACAATCTCAACCTTCCTCTTACATCAAACTGAAGTTACTTTAATTGGCAGAACTAATTCTAATCTACCATGTAGTATAATATTAGCTGAAGAAGAATGGCGAGTTTTGTATGTAAAGATACACAAAGCATTGGACTTTGGACAAAAATCCCTGTTTTTTCACAAAATAGAAAGTTTGATAAAAAACTAGGATTTTTGTCCAAAGTCCAAAAAGCAGCTCCCCCTAATAATATAATTCCTACAATAAAAAACGCTATAATATGGGTTGGTAAATTGGGTGGGTATTTAGCAAGAAAAAATGATCCAGAGCCTGGTCCTATTGTATTGTGGAGAGGATGGCAACGATTATTTGATCTAGTTCAAGGTTATCAATTAGCTAACTCTAATATTTGTGGGTAATAGTAAGCTAACACTCCGCCTACTAGCTTCTTCACATTGTATTTTAATTAAATCTGGATGCATATGATACCAATTGCAATAATTAACGCAGTGGTGTAAAATGGGTTTTTAACTGATAAAGGGTACTCAAATAGCTAGGTTAATATTACCGCAAGGTTTTCATGGTCATGATTTTATAAAAATGATGAAACATGAGCCGCATGGTCGAAATCGTATACGTTTATTGGCGATGTATCACCTTCAATTAGGCAAATCTTTTAAAGCCATTCGCAACTTGCGTGAAAAGGGAATCTAAAAAATAATCAGGAATAATGCAAAGCACATTACAAAAGATATTAAATGATCTAAATACATCTCAAGAATCTTCTGAGATAAATATTTTTGATGCAATTACCCCATTAATTGTAAAGTCTGAAGAAGTAGATGTAACAGCAGAATATATTGCTTTTTCTTATATAAAAGAATTTAATGACTGGCAAATGAACAACTATATCTTTGATAAGAATAAGGAGGATGAGAAGGCGAAAACAGATAAAATCTTAGTTGAAGTACTTAAATCTAAGTATTATAAGGATTACAGTGATGATCAATCCTTATCTCAGATAGTAGACAAAATACTAAAATATTGGCAGGACAGAGCTTTAAATATATAAATTTTCCAATGAGAAATACCAATTAACGGCATTGGACAAAGTGTTGTAATTAACTCCTATTGCGGTGCTTGCAAGCTTATGTAAGCCTATGTTACTACCTAAAGCAAATATTCCGGCAAAAAATATTTCATTGTTTGGTTTTGCTTTTGCCCCCTTTATTTTATGGTGCTTAAAATTGGCGGTAAAATTAAACAAGTCATTCATTTCAGCCATCATTTGTAAAATGGGTATATATTTCTCTTTACCGATAATCGTTGAAATGGAGTCGTAGTCCAGTTTGTCGATAGCCGGTGTGTGTATAGAGTATGTTCCGTCCTTTTTAACAGAGACATGTTTATTTTCTTTATTGATAATTCGTTGATTAACATCGATATATTGTTTATCTAAAGAGCCACGAAGTGTTGTTAGCACACGATCAATATTCTCGGGTAAATCAAGATTTGGTATAATAGTATGTTTATTTTTTGTCCAACAATATTCATCAATTAAATATTCATCGATTGATAAATAGCGATAAGAGTACAAAAGACTAATTTGACCTGCCTTGATTGCGTTGGCTACCTTACAAAAAAGAATAGCTTTATATAGCGACACATTAAATTCACCATTTCTGTAAACTGCTTTATACTCATGATCTTCTAGGAATTTATCAGGAGCAGCGGTGGTAATATTCTTCTCCGACTGATAATAAATTAAGGCTGAATAAAGCACATTATTATCCTTACAAACTTCAAACTGCAGATGTTTTATAATATTAGCAACACGATTTTGTAACTTTCTAGAAAGAATAGACAAAATATCCAATTTATCACTTTGTGCCTTCTCATTATTAAGCTGGTCCTCTAGTTTCTTAGCATCTGATATAGCATGTTTTAAGTCTGTATTAGTATTCTCCAAAGGCACAACTTGACATAGTTTCTCGACTTTTTGATCATTAGTAATGAGCATTATCGTGTAGTATTTTTCTTACCAAATCAACCGTTGATTTGGTATTATCAAAGCCTAACAAAACAGAGTAGGTCAATTTATTTTTATCGGGAATTTTTTCTTTTACTACATTGTTTAGTTTCCTGTCGGCATTATTTAACTGCTGTTGCACATTTCTTAGTAACATATCAACAAGCGTATCTTGCCAAATTTTGTAATAATGGTCAAAAATGCAACAAGATACAAATACCTCTTATTTTGCTCTACAATATCGGTGATTTGTGTTACTTATAAGAAAATTGTGTATCCCATGTCTAATTTGCCCAGGTCTTAATGACTGATTAATGCTTTTTAGTCGAGTAAGTAATGGTCGTTGATAATATTCTCCTGTAGTACAAACAAGTTGATCAAGTGCTTCACGCTGTGTTGGTGTGATTATATCTATTATTGCTTGCAAAACTGATTTTTCAAAAACACCAAATTTTTCTGTGACAATTCTGGTAACCTTATCGTAACTTGGTATTTCAATTCGTTTGTTACGCAATTCTTCTATCAGCAAGTAAAATAATTTGCGTGGATGCATTTGTTGTGCAACTAAATTTTCTACCCTTTGTGAAAATAACGTTTCAGCACCGGTAAATTCTATATAACCACAAGTTTCAAGAATTAATAATCTGTGTTTTTGACGTGTTCTATCGATGTATCGTTTACTAAAATCTTTGGTGACACTAACACCGATAACTTTCTCAACAAATTTAATATCACCGGATTTAAATAGGCTTTGCGTGTAAAATTTACCGCTAGCTTTAAAATATCCATACTGCAATAACAAGCCAACTTTGTTATGATTTTCCTTAATGCCTTTTAACAAGCTCATTACCGTCTCATCTACTTTAAAATAGTATTTCTGATCGTCTATTGATAATATTGGTGGATTATCAAATAATCTAATCTCGTAAGACGGCAGTATCTCTATCAAACGCATCAGTCAAATTCCCCTATTCGTTCCACAGCATCACTAAGATCCGTAAAAGATGGATGACAATATAACTTGGTGGTATCTAATCGTTCGTGTCCTGCAAGTACTGCAACCTTTTCCAAATTAACTCCTGCATCCACCAAATTCTTACAAAAAGTGTGTCTGAGTTGATGCGGTGATATTATCGCAAGTTCACCTGGAAGATTCAAGCTTTTTAACATAAGCTGAATGCCGCGAGGAGACAAAGTTCCACGTTGACCAATAAATATGAAAGAATCATTACCAGCATAATCTTTATATCCCAGATCAAAAAAAGACTGTCTTGCATCTTTATTTAATGGGACTTCACGATATTTAGAACCTTTTCCGGCATTTATCAATAACTTGCCCTTACGATCACTCATTACAACATTTATCCATTTGAGATTACATAATTCACTAACTCGCAATCCCGTGTTCATTAAAACCCTTACAATAGCAATATCCCTAACTTTACCGCAATGCTCCACACAACGTAATAGCTGATTTTGCTCAATTCTACTCAACCACTTGGGTATCGGTTGTGATTGCTTAACAGTCTGAGGTAATGGAAAACGGTACTTGATCTTTTTACTATCCCACCCCCATTCTAAAAAATATTTTAATGATAATAATCGACGATTTATCGTTTGCGGTCTAAAATTGGAATCAATCAAACATTGTTTATATTGACGAACATCAGTTGGAGTAATATGAAGCAAATCCATATCGGTATTATTAACCTTTTCAAACCAAATGGCGAACTGAATCAGATCGCTGCGATAACTTACCAATGTTGCAGGTGATTTATCTGTCGATTTTTGATAAGCAATATATTGCTTAATTTGAATAATTTTAGTCATAAATAATTATGCGATTAGATTTTGATAGGATAACCTATTACAAATAATGCTATTATACGATGACTTAAGGTTGTTTGCAACGTATAATGCTTATTATACGATCAGATGTTCTAGAATATAATGCGTAAAACATGATCATCCTACAGGGATAAGGCATTTGAGTAAGATAACTTATTGCAGGATATTTTTCTATAACAGAGAAGAAATTGATAGAATTTTGGAGGTCTAGTTCGCTTTTGCCCCGTTTCTGTAATTTAACCCATATATAGAAGAACAAGAAGGAGAACCAATTGAAGTAGGTCAATTTCAAATTGACTCTACTTTATAACCCCTCAGCTCTAAGTTGAGGGTTGTTCAGTTGAATTAATATTATTAAAATAATGAGCGTTTTTATCTAATAATCTATCTAAATAAATTACGGAATAATTGTAAGATTATTATTTTTACATGGTCAATTAAATTGAGCCAGACTGTATTTTTAAAGTCAGTTAATTTGAGCCGCTTTTGTTGCCGATGGAAGCAAGCCACTGGCATTTCAAAAACAAGCCGCTACACATAAGGACTTTGTTCTTTCGTAATATTGACAGATAGCATGTCACCTATTACTTCTTGTATACGTTTCTTCAAAGCCGTCTCTAGAACTTGAAAATTCTCCTGTGATACTTCTCCACGACCGTATGGATCATGTGCAAATATTGTTACAGAAATTGCACTTGACTTTTTCTCTATAATAATCTCACCGGTGAGCCAGTGTGTTTGTATTATATTATAAGGCAATAATATTTTTGCTTTACACCTAATCTTGTCCTTGTATCAATGAGTTTAATTCATCAAAAACATCTCTCCTATCATCTAATGGTATACTCTTTTCAGTACTATCTACAGCACCCGAATATAAAATGTAATAAAGATCATTATTTTTACCCAATTGGTTTTTAAGAAGAAATGAACACTTAGCACCACTTACATCATCTTCAAATCCACCTAATCTAGGTTTGACAACATTAGTAACATAAGTGTTGATATTATTATCAGTATACCAATACTTGGGGTTAATTGTGAGTTTGTTTGTGTTATTTTCATCAACTTGCTCCTGAACCCTTTGAAAAGGGGGACCAGTTCTACTATCTTGCTTTTTCGCCTCAGGACTTGCTCCGGTTGGACTTGATGGAGGTCTTTTTTTTGTCATATAACATAACCTTAACTATAACAGTTATAATACGAATTTAGGGTAAAGAATAGTAATAAAGATGACACTTGCGAGTTATAAAAGCTATTCATTAATAATTTTTACTCAAAATAAAGTAATGTATTAAAAAATTTCAGTATTTAATTTATGTGTAAAACTCATAAACTATTAAGTCACATATTAAGATGATCCTGCAATTTTCTTATCCTAAATTGGCATTCATAACTTAATACTAAAATAATTTTTAAGGTAAAGCAATTTGGGGTTAAAAATACTTTTTTAACAATTCCATCTCACTTGGCAATAGATGCGACAGAACCGGATTGCTACCATTCAAACTTCTTGATTTCTTCTTTGGTTAAACCAGTAGACTGAGAGATTATTTCAGTAGACACTCCTGCTTTCTTAAGGTTTTTAGCTACTTCAATATTTCGTTCAGCTTTACCTTCAGCTTTACCTTCAGCTTTAGCAGTTTCTATTAGGTAATCTTCTGCTGCTTTATTATCCATGATACGTTTAGTTTCTTGCTCATAAGTTAACAATTCTTCTTCCGTCCAGTTAAACTGGTTCAATTCTTCATAAGCTCTCTCTATTACTTGATCTGATCCTATGATCTTACGTAAGTCCGATTCACTTGTTTCATCTGCATGCTTAAAGAAATAACACCACTTCTCTATTATGTTGGTCAGTAAATTTATATCTGTGATTTTAAACTTCGGTAGCTCTATAAAAGTAAATGAAAAATCCTTTAAATCATGGGCATAGCTATCTTTATCCAAAATAATATGATCAGACTTATAGAATACTTTGTCTTTAAATATAATATTATCGCTAATAGCAATAAATATTACCGATTTTAAATCTATATATCTAGCCCCTTCTTCCTTGCCTTTATTTAACTGCCGTGAGTAGGCTTTAGCTGCATAATACTGAGCTCGCTTCTCAAAACCTTCTTGTGGAGATACTTGCATCTCGATAATAAGCTGCACTCCATTTTCATCTTTACATAACACATCAACTACACTCTGCTTTTTAGCAGCAATCTCCGGTATTTGGATAGTGGGCAAAAATATTACTTCCTTAATTCTATCACTGCTTTTAAGCTCCAATACATCATTAATAAAATGAATCAGAATGTCTTTATTCTTCTCCGAACCAAATATACGGCGAAAGGCTACATCATTTTTAGGATCTAGAAATTTAGTAATAGCCATAAATAGTAATTTTTGATAGTTGTTAATGTTTTGTGGCATTACTCATTATACCATAAAACTCATAAACTACTAGCAAAACTTACGCTATGTTTTATGACAAATGGCTTAATACTAGGGTTTTATTAAAATCCTCCATTATAAAAAAATGCCTTCTAGCCAAGGTTTTTAGTCGCATTTGAAATAACATAGCGTAAGTTTTGCTAGAATATTAAACTTAATACAAGAGTTGTTCAAATACGTTCATTAAATCAATTTGTTTACTATCCTGTCTATTATATGCCGATTTATGATTTAATCTACAGTATATTTAGTACTTTTTCTATTGTCTTCTAACTTATAAGTTAGTAGACATCAAATAGATATCAAAAAGTAACTTGCATCGCTAAACCTAAATCTTGTAAATACACTACTTCTAGTAAACAACTCTATACTACAAAGAAGGACCTTCGAACTCCTTTGATATTACTCTTTGCTGGGCAGCAAATTTATCTCGACCTTGCTGTATATGTTCTCGAGGAAAAAACTCATTATTCTCATGCACCTTTAATGCATAATCTAGTAACTTTAACTGACATGTAAATGACTTCCCATCTATTATCATCTCTTTGCCTGAGTGAATATCATTTAAATGCTGCTTTAGCCTATCAATTACATGGATATGATATTGATGCGTTAAACTTTGTAACGCACTAGCACTATCTGTAGAATGCTTAATTGTATTAGTTATCTTTCTAGGCTGCATTGCAGTTCTATCAATATACGATCCTAATTTATTCAACTGTTCAAATACATTGTTTTTTTCATTACGATAAGCATACTTTATAGACTTTAACAGACTACCACCTTTATAATCATACTCCTTATAATCATGCTCATACTCCTTACAATTAACGTGTAAACTAGCTAGATATTTCTGCTCATTTTCTAGGCTTTGAACGCTTGCTCCGGTGTATTGGCTCTTTGCTTAGCTTTTACTAATTCTCCAAGCTGAGCAAAAGTATAATATTTATCTCTCACACTTGTCAGGCTTTGCTTCATCTCCTCATAACTTTTTCCTACTAATGATACTGCTAGCTCTTGCCTTTCAAGTTTTGCTCCATACCTATTAGCTTCATTCACCAAATCCTTATGTTCATCAACAAAATTATCTGCAAATTCTATTGATTTGCGTGTACTATCAAGCTCGCTACTACCCTTTACATTACTACTCCTATACGCATCTATTATTTTCTCTTCATTAATCTTAAATTGCTGAATGTAACTAATATTAGCATGCTCTTGCTTACTTAATTTCTCTCCTTCATTGCTACTACCAAAATATTGCTCCAACGTAACGGCTGCATGCTTGCTTAATGCTCTACTAAATGCTTTTTGGATTTCTTGCTCTCCTAATTCTTGGTCCTTTAATATATCGTTAAAGTCTCCTACTTTGCTTGGGCGAACTATTTCAACAAATGCTCCTTTACTTAGTAATTCGTTCTTGGCTACTTCGATTGTCTTGTTCGTTACTGCATCTATTCCATCATTATCAGCTGCTATAATTATTTTCTCCCCACTTACTGCCTGATAATTCTTGATATTACTTATTCCTAACGAACACACTATCTTTATTTCTTGCTCTTGATGAGCAACATCATGAACTAAAGCTTGTTTCACCGACAAAGCTGTTTCCAAACCTTCCGCAATGATTACTATGTTCCTATTACCACTCTCAGTATTATTACCTATCATACCCACATCCACAAAAGACCCCTCTATCTTCCCAAACGATCTCTTCGCAATATCAACATCTGCTTTTTTATTTGTTTTGCTATCTAATAATATTTGCTGACCTCCTGTAATATTCCCTTTGGCATCTCTTGCAAAAACTACCAAGGCAGGGACTTTCTGTTTAAGAGATTTCTCATAAACATTAGTCGTTCTAATATCCTTACTTATATTATTTCTAGCTAATCTATTCTTGACCAAACTATCATTACTTAACTGTTCCTTGGCAACATCAACATCTATATTCCTTGTTTGTACTAAATACTGTCCAGCCGTAGTACTTAACTCTAGCTCTTTGCTTCTACTATATAAATTCTCTGCTTTGCGTATCTTACTTAAGCTTTCTGACTGCTCCTTACCAACTTGCTTACAATGTTCTACATATTTATCTGATATAATATTATCATTTACTACCTGTAAGTTAGGTCTTATCTTATTAGGACTAATCCCTAATCTATCTTGTAGATAACTTACTGCTTCTTTAAAGTCATAATTCTTCTCCCGCTCCACAAGATCAAATATGTCTCCTCCCTTGCCAGACTCAAAATCATACCATGTCCCTGCTTTACTACCAGACACCTTTACTGCTAATGAACCATTATTACCATACTGCAATGTTGACTTATTTGATAATTTGCTATTTGGATAGCCCAGTAAATCAATTGCTAGCGACTCTGCTCTAATTACTATCTCTCTCCTTAGATTATCTACCTCACTTCTATAACGCTCTCTATTCTCCTCACTTCTCCTTACCTGCTCTGCCTTGTAATCAATATTTGCGTAAAATCTACCCTTTGATGAAGCTTTTGTTTTCATTGCTATTATGTTCCCATCTTTACCACCCTCTAACATAGCCGTACCACACGCTGACACACCTGTATCATTAACGCTAGAATTAGATGCGATACTTGTTACATCATCCACAACACCACTTCTATTAGCAACATGACCCGTTTCCCCTAATTTCTTACCTATATTAATTCCACTACTATGCACATTAGCATTACCTCCTACTACCTGCTTTTCTTCTCTTACATTTATTTCAGCATCCATATCTTGATTTTCTTCATATACCCTATCAAGCACCTCTTCTACACTTACTACACTCTTACTAGGCTCTCTATAATAGTAATACTCCACCTTTGGCAAATATTTATCTGTTATCTTCCTTATATTATTTTCAGCAAAATCATAAATCTTCACCAAAGACCTACTCAAACCATTCATATTATTTAAGATATCTATATCTTCTAAGCTATGATTAGCTTCCTCCTTTGTTAAGTAATTTAAGCTACTACCACTATCTAGCGTCTTGGACAATTGTCTAATTAAACTCTCTCTACCCACAGTGGCTATTTTATTAACATACAAATTTAACTCACTGATATTTCTTGATAAACCTACATAACTGTTTCTAAGACCAGCAAAACCATTGTGGTAGACATATACATCTTTTATCGATGCTGCTTGTGATTTAAATATTGTTACTGCATAACCATGTTTAAAACTATTAAATTCTGATGGTTTGAATTCCACCATTCTATACTCACTGCTGCTTTTGCTATCCTTACTGTCTTTTATATAGTTTGGATTCTTCAACGATATAATAAATCTATTTGTTGATACATCTAATATTACTCCAAGTTCACCATTGACTACACCAAGCTCCTTGTTGGTACTACTTATCACTATACGATCTCCTCTCATATAATGATTACCTCCTACTTCTATCTCTTGACCCTTTAGCTTACCCTCTAGCTTTAAATATTGACGTACTCCATGATTTAAGGCTGCTACATCTTTGTTTCTTACCGCTAGTACTATTTTATCATCAATAGCATAACTGCTCTTATGCCAATCTGCTACTAAACTTTGCATTGACTGAATTGCATCAGAACTCCACTTAATTCTTTGCTCTTCTTCTAATATACTCACAGCTCTTCTAACATCTCCATTAGACAATGCCATAGCCGTCTGCTTCCCCCAATCGCTGTCCTGACGTTTTATATCTAATATTGTACTACTACCATATTTGTTCGCTAACACCTCAAACATCCCTCCTCGCTGTACGCTAGTCAGCTGACGCTCATCTCCTGACAAAATTACTGTGCATTTGCGAGTAGCTGCTACTCTTAGTAACTCACTAAAATCATCATTTCCTATCATTCCCCCTTCATCTACTACTAGCAGACTATTCTTTGGCAAAGCAAATCTTCCATTAGCTAATTTAAACAGCATACCCTTAATCGTATCAGTATGCCTAAAACCATCAGAAGCTAATGCCTCTTTAGCTTTATGGGTTGGAGCAACTCCTATCGCATATATTCTACACTCGAGAGCAATTGCAGCAATCTGACGCAATACATGGCTTTTTCCAACCCCTGCCCTACCTCGCACTATCTGTAAAGCCGACTTCGATGTTAGTAACTCAGTTAAAGCATGATGCTGCTCTTCTGTTAGCTTACCCTCTACTGCTACGATTGATTCAATTGTACGTTTAAATATATCTTGATTACTCGTAAACACATTCTGAACACTTGATACATAACTGCTAAGACGCAATATCCTCTGCTCTTCTACTCTAACTGCAGATGTAGTATAGTACCCAGTAACCCTGCCATCCTCTTGATACAACGCTATTACTGATTTATCTGCTAAAGCATCTGATACTAACTTTTCTCTTCTTTCCACATCTGCTACGTATTTCACTGCTCTCATTAAGTCGCCTTTAGTAAAGACACTCATATGACGCGTTACCTTCTCTAGAACTCTAGCTCCGCAATCTAAATGCTCTATTTCAGCTTGCTTCCTTTCTTCATTCCTTTCCGCTGCTTGGTTAAGAACACTCCTCATACGTACAGGACCTATATGTTCTTGGGTTATCTCTCCAGGCAAATCAACTCGTAAATCCACTCCCCATTCTTTGATTTTATCTTCTAATACTTTCCTATAAAAATTATGATTATCTATTTCTATACTCTTTTGTACACAACCATTTAATACTTTAGGCTGCAAATCCCGTGCCTTCTTTGACTCAAAACCCAAACCATCTTTTCTAAATCTACGAGTTGTTACTAGTAAATGTGCATGCCAATTTACATCTCCTTCGTGTGGCTTATGTATATCTAACTGCACTCCTAGACCTTCTCTTATCCAACCTTTCCTTTCAATAAACTCTTTTATGATTTCTTTCTTCATATCTAGAGTTATCTCTTTTTCTTTTGGTAGAGCAATTACCCATTCTACACATAACTGACTATCTTTACGATTCTCTGAGCTCTCTATTGCATTTGTAAATAATGATACATTTTTGAATTTTTGATCTACATGTCCTGGTAAAAATATTTCATGATATACATTATCTTTTCTACTTTGAAAGTTATAAATTACACCAGTTTGTATATCTTTTACTATTGTTCTAGCATTATATGCTCCTTTGAGACAGGCATTCTTATTATTACTTCTACTTATATATTCTGGTCTTGCAAATGCTATTGCCATTCTATAACTTGGTCTATTTGAATCGAAAATATCTTATTACAATACATACTCTCTATTAAAAAGCTAGCATTAGTATAATGCATGTTGCGTCTATAACTACTCTATCGAGTGAGTTCTAGAACCTTATAACAACTCAAAAGAAAAATTAGGCAACATACTTAAAGGAATTATTAGAACACTGTGGTCTAATGTAATTATTATTAATAATATCAATATAACCATCAGCAATTAATGCTGTTCTTACTTTTACTATATTTAATATTATGTTTACACCTGACAAGAATTAGAAGTAATAGAAAGACAAGAAGCAAAATCATTTAATTATTATTACTTTAATTGTTGTGAACTATAAATTTTAAATACATAATAAGTTATTCTTGCTTCATACTAAATTATTTAGTAATTTATTCTATATTTATTTCTAATATTAAAATGGTCTAAACTACATGCAGTCGGTAACAACACAAAAACTTCGATTAGAGCAAAAGAAAAATAGATTAATTGCTGAAGAAACTAAACTTAAAATGAAAGAACGTAAAATGCGTACTCGTCATTTAATAGAAATGGGTGGGTTAATTGTTAAAACAGAACTTGATCACTTACCTACCAATACCTTATATGGTTCTCTACTATCCCTAAAAAATTCTCTAACAAACCAATCTGATATTAAAGATCAATGGACTAAAATTGGTAAAGCAGCTTTTGATCAAGAACAACAAAAAAAACTGCTGTCATTCTCAAATTAGCAGAAAAACCTTCTTTAGAAATTCGCTCTCATATCAGAAATCACTCCCTAAAATGGAATCATCTCCGAAATGAATGGTATGGTTATGTTCTTGATTTACAGGCTTTGAAGGATGGGCTTGGAGATTTGAAATATGAGCTGCAGGTTATATAAGATACTATAAACAATATATAATTATATTGTACTTTTTACTAAAGTATAGTACATGTACTATACAATATTACCTAATATGACTCATATAATATCTATTACTCAAACAAAAGGTGGAGCTACAAAAACAACTAGTAGTATAAACATACTAGGAGCATTATTAGAAAAAGGTAGAAAAGCCATATTGTGTGATATGGATAAAGATAAACCAGATGCAATATTTTGGGCTGATTTATGTAGTACTTTAAGTGACTTCGTAATCCCTCTATATGACGATAATCCCAAACCAAAATTAGAGATTTTAAGTAAAAAATATGATTTTATTATTATAGATACCCCCCCTAATATGCAAGCTGCTGCACTCAAAGCTACAATACTATCAGATTTTATTATTATCCCTTGTTCAGTTTCAGAATTAGATAAAAATGCTTTAACTCAAGCCGCTTCTGCTGCAATGATGGCAAATAAACCTTATGCTTTCTTAGCCTCTAGAACAACAAAGCATACTAACTCCACTAAAGACTTATTAGATCAATTAGCAGACACTGGGTTTTATTTTAAAACTAATATTACTAATAGTGTAGATATGATCGAATGTCAAAAATATGGTCAATGGGTAGGAACTTATAAGCCAAATTGCAAAAATCATATACAATATTAAGCATTAATCAAAGAATTAATCACAAAGTTAGATAATACAAAATAGTATTGTACTATGATGACATGTACAATATTGTACAATACATTTTTCTTAATAAAAATTATATTTATATAGAGGGAAAATTTCTACTTCACGAATAGCAGAAAAATTAAAATTAGTACAAAGCGAGATTAATACTTCAAACAAAGAAGTAGATATCTCTAGTCACCCTATTTTATTTGTAAATGGTAACCTTAATAGGAAAAATTGTAATTATATAGCTAAAAATTTTTCATTATTAGAACCAATTGAAAAAGAAATAAAGAAGTATTGCAAAGGACTTAATTTAACCATATTAAATTATTTAATTTTCCGTGGAATAGAATCTATTAAAAAAGAGGAAAAATTTTTAGCTATAGAATATTCAGATATTGAAAATCAATACAAGAAGGACACTAATGCAGATTAAGTCTGATATTACAAAAATCAATTATAAAAAAATAAAATATAAATTTTAGAATGATTTTAAATACATTTCAACTCAGAACTGCTCGATCTGTTCTTAACATTGGAGTAAGAGAGATAGGAAGCATTATAAACGTTAGTAGAACTACAATATCTGTATGGGAAAATCAAAGAAATTTTGTATCAATAAAGACTTCTCAAGATAATAATACTCTTATAAATTTTTTCAAAGAAAATGGTATAATCTTTCCTAGTGAAAAATCTATAGCATTAGATATAAATACATCTAATAAATTAAATCTTCTCTCTAGATTTCAAATACGTGTTGCTAGGGTTGCAATGCATTTAACTCAACAAGAGTTATCTACACTTCTTGAAATACCATTATTATTATTAAACTACTTAGAAAAACAACACAATAATGTATATATAAGTAGTACACCCAAAACAATCAACGAGTTTGTATTACGCAGCTTTTTTGAAAAGAATGGAATATGTTTTCCTAAAGATTTTTGTGTTCATTTAGAAAAAGATCCAAGAGAGTTGATAAATAACTATTGACTCTTAGTGTCAGTATGATATTAATAAATATTCTTTTTACAAATAAAAAAAGGTGCTAAGCACTAAAAAGAACTCAACACCATTAAAACCAATAAGTTTTAAAAATAAGAAATCTTTTGCCAAGGATTAATCTTACAGTAATGAGTATAAACTGTTTTAAGGAAAAAGCAAGTTTTTTAGTTCTTAGCTCCATAAAAGGAGCAAGAAATGCAAATTTCATCCCACGAAAAGCTTATAGATAGCACTATACCTAATCTAAGCAATAACTACTTTGCTACTAACCTATCCCAATATACCCCTGACTTCACCTCATTACACACCATAGTAACTAAGAATAAACCCTACACCCCAATTACTACCTGTATATTAGAACACATTCTTGCAACCACAAATCTCTGTGACCTTGAAAAATTGTTTTACATGTTAGCCGATAGTTTAAGCTTCATTAATCACAATAAAGGTAAGAAACGCAGTATAACTCTTTCTGCCAGACAATGGTCTGAGAAGCTTGATTGTTCTGTCACTGAAATATTTGCTATGCAGCAAAGCTTAGAACAGAAAGGTTATTTTGAGATTTATCGAAGCAGAAGTAAGGATGGGAAGAATAAGAAAAATACTATTACACCTACTTTGCCTGATTCAGTCTTTAACTCTTTAGCTAATACTCCCAACAGATTTAATATTGGCACATATTCTACTGATACTTCTTTATATTCTAACTGTATTTCTGCCGCTTACTTACCTAATCTAGAAAATAAAAGAACTTATCTTGATAGAACTAAGATGTTTATTAAACTTAACTACGACCTACTTTTACTCATTACTTCTTCTAACTACTTAACTAAACACGCAAAAATCTTATGGTTAGATTTCTATTCTATAGGATATAGATATTATTTGAAACATAGAGATTGTGGCAATAATAATACAGATACTAGTCAATATTATGCTAAGAACACTGAAGAACTACATGAAATGCTTATGTATACATCTGATAACATCAAGACAGATGATTATGTTAATTATGTCGCTCCACCTAATAGTTATTCTTTAACTACTACTTACAAAGAACTGCAAGCTAAATACTCCTGTAGTAAGGATGTCATCTCTAAAACCCTAAAGGAGTTAGAGACAAAAGGATTTATTACTAGAAAACGTTTCTTTGTTAAAAATGATGATGAAGATAGTAATCTGCATGATAAGTCTGTTTGGCGTATTACTGTTACTTTACCAGATATGATACAACAACATCTACAAAATGAAGTGAAAGATCGTGCTAAACCCTCATCAGGAAGCGTTGTTGCCAATTCTGACCCATATGTCTTCAATTCTAGTCAATATATTAATAAATACTTTATATCAAATACTAAAGATTTAGATAATATAGATAGCGAAAAAACTTTTTTTGCAAAAACTTATCGTTTTTCATCTGAATTATCTGTATCTTATAAAAATTCTTTAAAAGAAAAACAAAAAGAATTTCCTCTTGAGAAAGAACAAGAAATAGTTAGCATTGAAACTACTCTTCCTATTATTAACACACATGAATCTATTCTAAACACAGAAACATCTAATAACTTAGAAGAAGGAAAACTAAAAGCGATAGAAGAAATAGCAGAAATAATAAAGGTGGAGCAAGAAAGAACACTACTACTGAATCAAATTAATGAGCAAAGTAATAATAAACAAGAACAAATCAATGCTGCAAATGGCTTGGTAAATACAAAAGAAGAAATACCTTTTACATCAACCATTAATCTCCCAAGCAACTCCTCAAGTCATAATAAATCA